TTTTCTTTTCTTCCGGAAATTCTTCAGAATTAGCCCTTTTGCCACAGTCTTGTCAGAATTGATATGTTGTTGAATTTTAATCGAAATGCACAAGTCGGTTATTCAAGTTTGTACCTCTCTCTTTTTCAGTAGTCGTGCTTGTGAAGCTTGCTCTATTTGTACCTGATTCAATTGTCAATCTGGACTCCTGCAAAATGGCTCACTTACATAATTACAGGGCAACTTTTGGATTCTTTTCAGTTTTATCTTTGATGTCTATCAGTGGATTCACACAACGGGAGCAAACGACACGCAGCCATCTAATTCTTGTTCCAGTCTAAGAGAAATTTCGACATTCCAACAACAAGTAAGCCGGGAATGTCGAAAAAACTTTTACATGTAGTTTCGTTTCGAAAGCACAATTTTGTAGCCATGGCCAAGCCAATGTTTTCATAGCCTAACAGAAAGAGCATCATTAGCCTAACATCAGTCGAAAGCATGAAATGAAACTAAGCTTGCGAAATAGCCTTAATGTGTCGACTGTGGAAGAAATTTGATATCAGTGGTATCTTAGCAACAGGTGTTCTGCATGTGGATTTAGGATAGATGGATATTTTTTCATCAAAGAATATCAGTATAGATGAGATGAGAGTGTCTTAAAAATCAGCCCGATGGCTTCAAAAACTTCCCTTTACCACTGATTAGTAGAAATAACTGTAAGACAACGCGGTAGCCTTCTTCGTGATTTCATCTAATTTATCTTTATGATCAGAATGATTATCCTGGAGCCTACACGCCCCGTGACCTGCTGAGTGCAAAGAGTGCGAGAAGTTGAATAAAACCATTAGCGTGTTATTGCTTTAAGTCCCAAGTGTTTAAAAGAAAGGCATCTTACGGTCAAAATTCAAAGGCTGAGGTAACAATCAGACCAGAGAGGAAGACAAGGGTGAGAAAATACTTTCGTCCGATTATTTATTTCAATGTTATCTGCTGTAGGTTGCCTTCCATTCTGTGAAAAAAATAATAACATTTAAGAATTTTTTCATGCTAACAGGCTGCCAGTTTCGTGGAATATCGAGATTTAAATGCACGCAGTAAGTTTTAGAACACGAGAGAGTTAGATTTTCCCGAGGCAAAATCGTTTTCCGTCGAAGGAGCTAGCGTAAGTGACAGCGCCAGAAATTTCAACTCGATGAAATCCCGTGGCTAATTTTCTAGAGGATGAAAATAGATTTTTGGGTAACCTTCTGTATTATTGTAGGACTCACAAATCGATCTACTGAAGCTCAACCTTCGTCGACTGATATATATTTTATTGTTTTTCTTTTTTCTTTCAAATCTTATTTCCAGAACTTGAATATGGCTATGACGACCTGGATTGTTCTGTTTCTTTCGCTGTCAGCTTTGGTGCAGAAAAGCTTCGAAGGTAACAAATAATGCACAGAAAATTGGCTAATGTGAATGTTTATGGTTGTTTTCAGATAAAATTATAAGGTGGCCTAACACCGATAAACTTATGAAAAATATCATTTGGAAAGTAAAACCGTTACTCCTTAGTATTTTTGAGCCCCTCAAGTGTGGCTCTGTGTGGAAATAATTTTGATAAGCCCGCTCGCTTGATCAGAAATGATAAAGTGCCTTCGTATATCCTGATAACTGAGGAACGGGGGGAGGTAGTGAGATCATGCTCATGATGGAAAGTTCAGTTTCCATGCCTCACCGTAAAGTGAAAACCCTCAGAAGGTATCACCGGTAATACTATTGCTCTGACTATCTCTGCAAATAAGAAAATTCCGTATTGTGACCGGCGAGCCCATCAGCAAATTCCTCTAATATGTCAGTTCCTGGTTGTAGTACGCTGTAGTACGAGCAGTGGGAATAGTATTCTGTAATAGATTTCTTTTTTTAAGTTCTTTAGTCACAAAGAAGAGCTTCAAATCTCTCCATTTGATCTTGAATTAAAGCGTGCAGTCACATGTAGTTTAAAATAGAGAACGTTGTTCATTTTTAACTCGTGAATTGCGCGCATGCGCAAGAGCGAGTTATAGATACGGTGTGGGGAATGGCATTCGCTCGCTCGCTCGCTCGCTCGCTCGCTCGCTCGATTGGTCGATTCCTGTAAACTTTTTTTAGATTTTAGGCTTTTGAGTGCATTTGATAGTTTTTGGCGAGCAATAAACAGACGAAATGGCGACCTTTGTTGCTAAGAATAGTGGTGGGGTGAAAGAGAAGCCAATGATAATCTTAAAAGAGTTTTTTTTTTTTCATTTTAGTTTCAACAAGCGGCGCCAGCGACTGGCAGGCATGCAAGGATTCACACTGAAATAACAGAACAACCTTCGTTTTTCATAAAATTGTAATTTACAATCCTTGAACTTGAAAACAATCCGAAGATTCATTGAAAATATCAGTTACTGCGAAGCGCTCGGAGTTTACAGATGTTCAAAAGCTTTTTCTGTTATAGCGTGAGTTGAGGACAAAATTGATCATTACGTTTCGTCGCGTGTGTTTTTCCTGTGTGAAGCAACAGAAGATGCCGGCGACTGACGAAATAACAAGTTAACACGAAAATCAAATAACACCTAAACAAACAATTTTAGCTACCGATTTTCAGTGAATTTTTAAAGAACAATTTTCTTTTAAGTTTCAAGACAATTTGAAGATTCAACATACATACAACGTACTAAAATGCGAAAGTTACACACCACAAAATTGATAAATAGGCCTGAAATGAAATTCTATCTTGTTATTGATTATACGTTGCCTAGCACGTGACTTAAATCTACCCAGGCGGAGATCCAAAATGACGGTGGCAGGCTTGGCTTAGTTATATCACTCAAAACTCGTTCCCGTTTGTCTCATTTGATAAAGAGGGAATCGTTAATGTTTTCATTAAGACAGTATTGCCTTGATTTTCTAATATTTACAACGAAAGACAGTAAATTTCACTTTTCACCCACATTTACTTCCAACCTTTTCTTTTGAACCAGAAACAAAAATGATAGACGTTTAAAACACATGACATCATCCACCCTTGTCAAATGTAATAGCATGATCATTTCAATTGTAATGCCTTCTTATCCCAACGTTACTTTGTTTCTTTGCTACATTAGCGAACACTGAACTACTGCTCGTACTCTAGATATGACAATCAACCACAAAATTCCCTAAACCAGATAACATTAAACATAATCTAAAAAATCATGTGTCAATTCACGAGTTTGCTCACAGAGCACTTTGATTACTTGTGATAACTCGTCGAAGTGTAGCTTCGAAGTGTAACCGCGTTAATGTGGGAATGTTTTCCCTAGGCAAGATAATCGCACGAACAAGTTTTTTGCAGTTATTCTCAGCTAGAAGATGTAACTGTGTTTTGGAATGGAAATTACCATCCCGAAATCAGTAAACCTACCTGTAAAGTCCTATGACAAGACATTCTGGAAGAATATTCATGCATTTTATTCTTTTGAATAGCGAAACCGACAGCGATCTAGAATTAGGTTGAAACAGTCAAAATAATAACAAGCATGACCAAGCAATGGTACTTATTATGACTAGCATCCTCTTTCAGAACAAAGCATATGCACTAGTGAAACAGATGTAGTGTTCATAGTGGATTCCTCGTCAAGCATTCGTATGAACAATTTCAATAATCAAATAAAGGACTTTGTGAAGAGGTCAGCAGCGGAATTCGGCGTTGCACCGGGCAAGAGTCGCGCAGCAGTTATACTATTCAGTGAGAATGCTGAAGTCAATATAAAATTTGGTGACGCCCCAACCCTGAAAAGCTTTCAGTGAAAAGTGGATAAATTGAAGCATCAGCAAGGTCGTGCTACACTAATCGACAAAGCCCTGAAATTGGCAAAGGATCTACTTATTCCCGAGTCGAAAGAAAGAAAGGGCGTAAAGAAGGTTGCACTCCTTCTTACTGATGGGAAACAAACAAACGATCCGGGGACAGACCTAGAAGAAGCATCTAAGCCTTTACACGACTCAAAGGTCGTTACGATAGCCGTTGGTATTGGCGACAGCGTGGAAAAAACTGAACTGAAGAAGATAGCTAAGAGCGAGAACGATGTGGTAATAACTAAGAACTATACAGACCTGCAAAATAAACTTCTGAGCATAATCAGCATTGCCTGTGATGAGGGTAAGTCCATCATATATTAACTCTTTAAATTCACAAGTGATCAATCAGGAAATTTTCTCATAAAATCAGAACACTGTTTGACAAACATGTAGTAAGAATAAAGACAGTGTTCAAAAGGGGAATGTGAATTCTCAACGGTTATTGCTTGAGGGAAATTTTATACATATTGAAATGGAATTTATGAGAGTGTCACAAACATAATTTCTATAGTCAGAACACTCCCCAAAAATTTAAACAAATGTTGTGTACTATTTCGTATTTTCCTGCAATTTCGATAATCCTTTAGCCCGAGGAGGGTGAAATTCGAGACGCCCCAACAACTTACCATTCTGGGCATGCCAAAGCAATTCTTTGTTAAATGCCCGATCGATCTAAAGTTTGAAACGCGGGAAAGATGATCATCATGATATGCCAAACCCTGACTATTTCATGCATTCGCTTTATGTTGAAAGATATGTGATAAGGCAGTATCGAATGTTTCTTGTTCTTGGAATCTATTTTTATGCAGTTCAAGAAAACATTTTAGATAAACGGACAGAGCTCTATATATAGACTACAAAATTATACGGGAAAGTACATATGTTTGTACCACGATTTTTCCCTGACGTGCCTCTGAAATTCATAATAAATTCTCAATCTTAAAACAACAATCTATGAAAGAAAAGAGATTAAGGAAAATCCAGAGAGGATGGCAGATCATTGATGCAAAAATGTTGGAGATGTTGCATCATTGTTTGACCTCTTCGTAGGTAACTGTGCTTGCTTCAGCGGCTCATCATATATTACCGTTGAAAACTACGAGGATGAAAAGGCCGGAGAACAAGACGACATCCACTTTGAATTCAAGAGCTCCAAGCCGTTTGGAACAATCATGTTCGTTAAGGGTACCTATGACGACCATATTCACGTGGAATATAATCATAACGACGAACTGACGTACCTTGTGGACCTCGGAAGAGGTAAGGAGATTTTGTAACCGAGATGTAATCGACCGAACTTGTATTGTATGAGATTAAATAAACATTAAATATATATTTGCATGCGATCCACTCTCAGCAAATCGTTCTTAGAGCAACTTAGAAAAAGAAATGAGAAGAAAAAGTACTGATTTTAAAGAGCTTGAAACAAGATGCTTCAACTTTCAATTTTAAAAACTGGTTGACGTGGTCACTGTGATTTGTTTCCAGGGAAGAGAAAAATAATGGCAAAGGGCGTGAAGCTGGACGACAACAAATGGCACACATTTCGACTTGAGCGAGTTGGACGTTCGTTCAACATAACCATCGACAATGCAAGTAAACCACAAGGTATAAGAGATATAGTTCATGTTATGAGGTCTAGTCAACAAGTTTTAAAAAAATAACATCAAGCGTAAGCCCTTTTGACGCTTAGTTTTCGTTTTTCACTGATGCATAGATTCGAAAGGTCTCCACGAATCACTATTGTTTATCCTATCATCCAGACAGAAATCAGTTGCTATGATTTATTCAGACTTTTTTAATAAATTTCTTCATTGGAGAAGCGATTAAGAATAAAGAACTGTTTCGAAAAGATCGTGTTAGTCTGTATTTCTACTTTCGATCAGCAAACTGATCAGCGTCCATCGTGTTCGTGCCGTAATGTAATTGTGCATGAATGCATTTGAACATTAACAACACGTGTCTCAAGAACTGATCGTTGATCTGATCTGAACTGTCTGATCGTTGTAACTCAGCACTTGGTGCAGATGTTAATTCTGTAATAATACATTTCACTTTCAAATTTGATCTATTTGAAATAGTTGTATTTGTAATCTTTCAATTTTTGCATTGTCATGCATTTTATACATGAGTCTTAGGATCAGATAGAGAAGATAATGATTGAATATAAATCAAGGGATTTCCACGAAGTAAGAGATTGTATCTTACTCAACCCATTTTAAATAAATCGGTAAGAAACAAACTTCTGCCTCATTTGACTCTTTTCAGTATTATTATTACTATTATTTTTTCAGCTATTGGAGAAGTTCCCGGAGACTACAACCATCTCGATATACCAAAATCAAAGGGTTATTTCCTGGGCGCGCCGAATTTTCCAAATTTTATTGGCTGCATTCGGGATCTCAAGGTTGATGGAGAAGCAATAATTGCAAATGCTGTGGGGGGAGCAAGCGGCTACTCAGTTACAAACAAGGATGAAATGAAATTATGCACCGAAAGTGACCAAGAGTAAGACTAAGCACTGCCACAAGGCAATTGATTTTAAAGTAAACTGAGAATATGTAATTGTAATTGTAAATGTAGCCGAAAGACAAGTGATCCAGCAGGAAATTTGTTGCAATTGTGCATGATTCTTTGCAACGAAAGCAATGTAATAAAAGCTACTAATCTATGCTATGATTTGATTGTTGTAAATAATTCATTTAACATGATCAAGACTACAGGTATATGCCAAATTGGCTTATGATATTGGCTCAGCGGTTTTTTTTCTTGAGTCGTGAACAAGGTATCAACGTGGCGGTACTTGGTATGCATGAGTGGCACTCAACTATTTCTAAATCTTAGCAATTTGTTAGTAGTAACTTACTTGATAACGTAAATTGGCCTCCGTAAAGAGTTTCCAAGTTTTGAAACTATGCACTAAATTACTCTGTTATACTCTCCCACCGACGCAGCACCACAGTTTCTTTAGAAAATTGCCCTCTTTATTTATTTTTAAATCTTGTTATGAAAATTCTTCACTTGCAACCATTTACACGACTTATTTCTTAAAAGAGAAGCGAGAATTTTCTCACTGGGACAAGGTTAAGAGGCCTCGGAGAGCCTCCCCTCCCCCCTTTCTCCCCTCCCCCTCCCCTCCCTCTGTCCCAAGCACGGCCCAGAATATCTCATACTCTTCTATCAGTTCAGCTGTTTTGGTTCCCATATCCTCTTCAATTAACCTTTAATAGTTTTTTTTTCAGTGAATTGCGTGATGTATGAAAACTGTCCGGATGTTTTATGCTTTCCTTTTGACAATTTTTTTTCTAATCCTAAAGCAGAAGCTACAAATCAGCGTTCTATAAAACTCATGAAAAATAGAACAAGACTTACATTTTTCTAAAGGGATCGACTGATATAAAATATTAAAATTTGCTGTACAGAAGAATGATTGATTTTTTTCCATAAGTGCCAAGGGATATTTAAAAAATTGGACAAATAAACTAGTTTAGCAAACAAAGATAAAACATTCAACACATTTCGATTTCCTTGCTGTTCATGTTCAGGATTTTTTTTTCATTATTATCATATTTCTTCTTTTTTGTTAAGTTTTATTGTGCTTTGTTTTGGATCATTTTTTAATTTAATTTCTATTTAATTTTTCACCGGATATTTGTATATAGCAGCCAATGGATAAGCATAGACGTCAAATCTGTGGAACATCTCAGAGAAAAAAACTGATAACTTTTGTTGTTTTGAAACGCTGCAAAAATCACTTGCACGCTTTATTTATTTTCGTTCCCCACGGATTCCTAACTACCTCCTGCTGAGGAGTCAAATTGGAATCCATTACACTGGGCGTGATAGCTAATTAGGTCAAATGCATTTAGCTCGGTGATTAAAAATGTAAGAAAAACATAAATATTGAAAGAGGACCGGAACTCAGAGGAGCAGAATTACAAGAGATATGGGAAACTGAAATTCATCGAGTAGCTATCACAAGAGGCATCCAGTAGAATAAAAATTGTTGGTATCTTTGGTTAATTATCAGTTAGATCCCAGTTATTGCTGTTCAGCAATTTTGATTTTGTAATTCCGTTTACAGAGGATGAATATTTATCAGCTTATATTTCACTGATATTCCAACCCGAAATCAATATTCCTCCATTGACAGCCTAGGGCTCATGTCACATAAGTTTTGGAGGATGATAAATAAAATTTTGTTTTCGGAGTATTCTTTTTTTTGTTTATTTTTTTCCTAATCTAAGAAAGAGTTCGGTCCTCAGTTGCTACTGCTGCTTAGTGCAATTTAATGCAAGAACCGAAGGAGAGCTGTTAGACTTCTCTAGGAAAATGTTCAGAGATAAACATATGCAGAATGTGTGCGACAAAATTACTTCATTCGCAGAATACAGCAAAATAACAGGGAGGAATGGAATGTTCTCCAATTTTTATCTTCTTCCTTCTCTAGATGGCGAAAGTTTGTACTTTGGCCTCTTGACTCAGATTCTTGTGATTGAAAGAAGAAGGCGTGGATTGTGGGAAGAGGTTGATGACGCTTGCGTGTAAAAGGGGCGAAGTTCATGATCAATTTTTGTGTCCTTTCGGAGTCACGGGCTACTGATTAAGTTTATTCAGCTTGTAGATCAAGAATACAACTCCCGATCATCATAGTTATCCTACATCAAGACGTTGTTAGTGATTGTTAGTGATTATGATCAAGTATTCCGACCGTCTGTTTGATTGCATGGAAGTCCTGTTCAGCATGACAGTCCTGTAAAATCAGCTGGCGCGCTTGTTAGCTTGAGTTAATCTTTTCTGGTTTAACAGCATTTTCTCTTCCCTTTAAAGTTCCAGAAAGGTATATTTTTTTGAACACCAAGTAATACAGGTTATAATTAGATTTAAGTGTTTCCTGTAAAGAAGAAAAAAAAACAATCTGAAGACTGGCTGAACCTGACCAAATTTGGAAACAAATTGCTTTTCTAAACCTATAAGTACACTTCTATGTTATTCAAAGTCTGTGATAAGCTTCAAAAGATTCAAAACAATAAGACAAGACCATAAAAATTTGTGATTTACATAACAAAACATTTAGTCTGCCGTGAGCCTTGCCCGTTGCTCGAGTTTTGACCCCGCTTTCCGGTAAGTTTCATAACGCCCTTATCACTCCAGAGAGTTCAATTTGGACTGAAAGTTATATTTGGTGTTAGTTGTTTAAAAGTACCCGAAAAGAGCCGTGAAGAAAGAGTTCATTCAGAGGCTGACACGACAAGACAATTTAGCCTTCAGACGTTTGGAGAATCTGTGGTGAAGCCGATAAAAGGTTAGTGCGTAGTCTTACAAATGTTTAGTGAAATCGCTATTGTTTTGCCCTTCGTGTCTTCAGTTGAGTAATATTGGTTGTCAGTAATGATCGCGTCTCTAAGTTTCCTGCGTATCCTGTAGTATCCGACTGTGGTAGATCTAGTTAGAGCATTGTTCCTCTCTCATATGTCGAGCTGAATAAACAAACTTGTGTCGATAACAGAAATCCTAGATTACTCTAAAGATGTTTCTGGATGCCAAACTAGTTTGTCGTTGTCTTTCCGCAGGACAAATAAATTTTAAAGGGAAGCATGTCAGGAAGGGCGTTCCTACACCATCCTTCAACCAGTTAGAATTTATTCATAGTGCAGTTGTTTGGTAGAATGCTTTAAAAATTTTCATCTCCAAGAACTCACCACACTGTAAAGTTGACATTTAGTGTTTAGGAAGTTTTATGGCTGGGTTTGTTGCTTACGAAAACATCACCGGGTTTAATAATTGCAACTTGTTATTCATCGCGTTGTTTTTAACTTAACTGCGTGGCGTCTTGTGTAATGATAGTACCAATAACAGAAATTTGAATATAAATGACACTAAATGAACCCTGAAGTAAAGATCTATTTAAGTCAAGAGAAAATAATGTTTAACTGCATTTGATGTTATTTAATTGCGTAACGACTCCATAAATCTCTGTACTGCACTCGTACTGTGCGAGTTTCATTAAGTTTTTCACATTTGTATACGAATCCCCAAGCTGGGTTCGATTTTGTGTAATACTGTAATCTCGTAATAACTATGCTGTAAAGGTTAGTATTATGGCATTCAAAGAGATCATTTGTTCATATCTTCTCTAAACAATACGCTAAAGTTGCATTGTTTTGGCCTCAGGGTGAATTTCAAATTATATAACCTTCTCGCATCCCACTGTCACCGTCGTGAAGTACTCAAAGTTAAATAAGTATAAAAATATTTTTTGGTGTCATTCTCTAGGCAATATTTTGAGCAGACAGGGACACGCGAACAGTTTCGGACTTCAATGCTTTTCCTAACAGATCCAAAGTATAGATTTTTGCGCCAGGACATTTAGTGTACAAAGTTAGGTTTCATTTTGGATTTTAATGCCAAACTTTCATTTCATGGCCTTGCTTCTATATTCTTGTTATAAAGTTCGTACTGAGTTGTCGAGCTTTTACAAAAAAACTGAGGTTAGATGGCGTGACAATGATAATTTGTCATCTCTTTCACTGCGTTATTTCCGGCTTGCCGTGTGCCGCTGTCTAACTAGTATGAATTTCCTGTCAGCTCATGAGCATTACGCAATTGTAATCAAACCTGGAGTTTGTTTTGGGTGCATCCGTTCGAAGGAAAGTTCTGCTAACTAGCGGGACACGTTTCGCCCTTCAGTCTCACTGGTCAGTCATTTAATTCATATTTGTTAATTATTTTAAGTATATAATGACATCTCTATGCTTCTGCTCGAGTCTCATTTTTTCTTTGCTTCTGTTTTTTTGAGAAAACATTCCTGCACGGAAACGAGTGATATTAAAATGAGGTGATCATGAAACTGAAAACTTTCTATGAAACATCTCCTTATAACGTCCATTTTAGGACTAGATAATTTGGCTCTATCAACTGAGTTGATGATGTATCTATAGGCCATCTTGCAGAGTTTCAGAGTTGACATTTCGAGGGTTAGCCCTTCGTCAGAGCGAAATTTTACGACTCGTTTGATATTCAACCTAAAGTCGCAAGACCAAAGCAAAAATGGACGAAAATCTGAAGGAAAAACTACATGTCTGTGTTTTGTGTTCACTTAGAGCGCCATGGTCAAAAATGAATTCTTTTAGAGTCATAGATGGGAGGAACGTTTTAACGCTAGAAACAAATGTACTTCCTCTTTACTTTACTTAAAATAGCAATTACAGGAGTGCCAAAAAATTAAACTTATCTGTAGGGAGTGTGAGAGAAATCCACCTGACTGAAAGTAAAATCGGGGGTCATTTCTTTCTATAATGCTGATGTGGTTGTACAACAAACTTGATCGTGTGGGTGAAAGTGCACTTGTAACTTGATACCTTGTTCGGCCTTTGTACGAAGATCAAAAACAAATGGTGCTTGGAATATAAATAGAAATGACGACGCCTTTCTGTTTTTGTAATTCAATTTGTGGAACGAGATGATTTTCGCTGATTTCAATTGGTATTCCTCAGTAGCGAAGTCTCAAAT